ACACGCAAATATGTGGTCAATCTCATCACAAATAGTAATCAGCAGCAGCAACAACAAGCACAGCATCTTCATCATCAGCAGCAGAATCAGAATCATTCACAAAACCTCCACCATCAACAACAGGCCGCCGGCAATCATCACACACAACATCAGCATCACATTATTACATCCACACCAACAAATCATCATCATCACCAGCAAATCTATCAGCAGCATGCCTCATCTTCATCATCCTCATCCTCCTCTTCGTCCTCCTCATCATCACCATCGTCAGCCATTTTGAATTCTTCTAATTCGTCGTCAACTCATATATTTCGTACTCCTGTAGTTTCCAGCAGTAGCGGTCATCACTTAACAAATTCTACGTCTTCTTCTTCCTCCTCCTCCTCTTCTAATTCTTCCTCCTGTACCTCAACGCCAAACGTCAACACCAACAATACTGCCATGCGTCCACCACCACCACCGCCTCCGCCAAAAATTAAACACACCTCTGCCGCCACACTGGGTTTGGGTGGTTCGCATCATGCGGTTGTTATAGGTGGTCCAGGCAATTGTCTGGCGGATGGGAATAGATCAACAACGCATATGGTATGCTCTCCTTCGTCATCATCTTCCTCGTCGGCAGCAGCATCATCATCGTCTTTAGGCTCCCAGCATCAGCACCACTCCCAACACCAACAATCGTCATCATCGATGTCTGCCTCATCAGCGTCAGCAATGAATTTAAATGGCAGCTGTGAAGAACCATCCAGCTCAATACCAGATTTAGGTGAGTACTGAACTTTTATTTTTATTATTAAATTTTACTATGGAAATTAGGTCGAAGGACCAAATATCATTTTAGCTAATTTACACTGCTCGAAGGACCAATACTTTGAACTAATCAAGATTACTCGATGGTCCAAATATAAGTGAAATGATTCAATACGATAAATTATATTGCCTACATTATCAGCTCGAAGGACCAAAAAATAACGAAAAGGAATAAAAAAATAAAATAAGAAACGAAACATGCACGTAAAGATAAAACATGCGCGTAAATAATACTAGGGAACTAGGTCGAAGGACCAAATATTTAAAAAGAAGGTTTGAACTGGTTAAAATTACTTGAAGGACCAAATATACGTGAAGATACTAATGTCTACATATACGTGATTCAAGATACTAATGTCTACATTATCAGCTTCAAAGACCAAAAAATAACGAATAAAATTAAAATAAAAAATGTAGACATTAAGTTAGAAAATATTTACGTAATTAATACTAGGAAACTAGATCGGAGGAACAAATAATTAAAATTTGACTACTGGAAGGACCCAATATAAATGAAATGACTAGATCGAGGGACGAAAGAAATAAAAAAAGACAATTCGAACTAATTAAGACTACTCGAAGGACCAAATAAAAGTGAAGTAGCACTCAGAAGGACCAAAAGAATACCGAAAAATGTTACAAAAAGGGGTTGTGAACGGAGTCGAATGACTATTACAGTGACATAAAAATTCAATATTAATTGTTTTATCATAAGAGGCCATTTAAATCATCTAGATTATTAGGTCGAAGGACCAATGAAATAAAATCCTAATTTAAAATAAATCAGTTGGACGGAAACGAAATTCAAATAGCTTGCAACCTAGTCCACTCGAAGGACCAAGTTCTCTTTGAAATCGAATATAAAATTAGAGCAACTGAATAAGAAACTATTTTTATAAGAAGCCATTTTAATGTGGTTAATTAGTTAGATCGAAAGACCAATTCGCACAGTAAAATAAAATACATTAAACACAACTGGGTCGAAGGACCAAATATAAAAGAGGTATCTGATGTGAATCACATGAAAATCTAAATTTACCATCAAAAATGATTATAATAGTTTCAAAAATAAGAAGAAGAAAAAAGTCGAAGGTCCAAATTGTTAGAGAATTAAACTCAATATTATGATTCAATCTAAAGGGAACAGCTCGAAGGACCAGAAGAAAACAAATATGAAAGTTGTTGAAAGTGGGTTTAAGGACCAATAACCTCTTTTAAATTAGTCTAATCGAAGGACCAATTTCAAAAAAATTAAGGTCACTAAAAAACAGTCATCTTCATTATATAATCAGATCGAAGGACCAAATAAACCAATATAAGTTTTTAACAAAAAACAACATTTAAGAGAGCTAAATAAATATTTAATTTCAAAGAAAAAACTCGTCTATCCTAAATCAAATGGATAACAACTCGAAGGTCCAAAATAATCGCATTGAAATCTACTCGAATAACAAAGTGAACTTCAGTTAAGCCAATCGTTCACATAAAATTATGCTCGAAGGACCAACAACATAAATTTTAGATTACTGTAGATTTACGTCATTTAATGTTTGTTAATTTGATCTATCTTTACACTCTAATATTTTACAATAAAATCTAATCAAAGGTCTCAACAGATACAATAGCTTACTTATTGTTAGCCAATAAATCGCATAATATGTAGCTCGAAGGACCAAAAAAATGTCAGTACTTTTTTAGCGCATCACAATTTCTACAACATAGAGTCGGGTTGTTCTGGAACGAAATAGTTCATGTAACCTTTTCCGAAAAAGGAACTATAGTTACTTTTGCTCGAATTGTTCGGGCCATTCACTGACACCGAATAACTGATGTGCACCAAAGAATGAACTATGGAACTAAATTACCTAGTGCTGCAAAGAGAACCAGAAATGATCGAACCTCTTTAGGAAATGTATTGCCTAACTTAATTGCAATTCTAACTTAGGTTAGGCATTTTTTAAAACAAAGTTTATAGTGTCACCCTTACGAAAGACAAAAAACCCAACAAATCCTATAAGCTCATAACAATATGCTCGAAGGACCAAAAAATATAGAATTTCAATTAATTAATAGACTCCTTATTTTATCACAACGTTAATTAAGTCCGTTGAACTTGTAAATCAGATTAAATCTGGAGTTCGAAGGACCAAAAAATATTAAATATATGTGCCAGATTAATGAAGATAATGTTAAGTTCATTTATTTTAAAGTCTATGCAATTTGTTCTCTGCTAATGTCTAATCGAAGGACCAAAAAAATCTTAATATTTTGCAAGGACCAAAATGCTGGAAACACACGTAGTTCATTTTTTTTCAATTTGAAACTATGCTCGAAGGACCAATATTACAATGTCTAAGGTTTTGAGTATATTCCTCTTTTTCCGTTATTTCTTTAAAATGTAAATACTGGGAAGGAAAAAATATCATTCAATACTTCATATTTAAATATGTTCGAAGGACCAATTAATGCAAAAATTTGTCTTGTATATATTTAAAGCGAACATATTTATTAAATAAAAAATTGAACTCAGCTCGAAGGACCAATTATTTTTTGTTGAGTTATTCAGAAGCCAGTCGAAGGACCAAATATAATTCTCAGAGCTTGATATTAATAAGGGTTTCTATTTTTAAATTCAATAAGATTATTGGATAATTTAGTTATTACAAAAAATTACTGATAATATTTTAAAGAAGATTTTCGCCAGCTCGAAGGACCAAATATTTTATTTTTGATTTATTTAAATTATATCACCTTTTTATTATTATTTTTCAAATATTAAAAAAAAAGTTCGTAATATTCTAAGAATCCATCCTATATTACTCAATATCCGTAGAAAAATTCCTACTAATCCCGAAAAATAAATGTTACATTATCTCCCTTTCTCCCTCTCCATCTATATAGGTGTGTTCACACACACCCTTCAAGCAAATGTCCTTCGATTAGAAAACAAACAACATTTCAGTTTCCAATGAAATATATATTTACAACAACAACCAGTATATTTTTACTATTTGTTTGATTTCCAGCAACATTTTCTATGTCATTTATATAACGGACCATAGTCAAGGGGCACCACTAACTCAGTGACTGACAGACAGACTAACTGAATATTTTTCTAGTTTTGTTTGTTTTTGTTGTCTGAACTGAAACCTGTTACAGCGTTTTAATACCGTTTTGTCTTTCCTACTTGCCGAGAAAGACAATAACAGCAACAAAAAACTGTAACAATAAACTAAATAAATATTTACAACAACATTAAATTCTATATACAAAAACAATAAGGCTTACATAAATATTAGTTTTTTATTCACAGCGTTTTTTTTTTCTTTGTAAAACAAGTTGACCCTGAATAGATATACAAATCTATGCATTTGAGAGGGTCTGGGGGTTATTCATGTGGGTTATATATGACACTAAGTCTGGCCAGAGATATTTTTTCATAAGACACTTATTTACATTTATGTGATCTTAGATACCGTTGTGGCTATATATGGGTTCATAATACACTTGTTAATATAATTGTCAGTCAACAGTAAAGCAAAACTTTAAGGGTTTTCCCCAGCAGCTAAGGAATGGTAAATTAGACATGTTGCTATCGTAATTTAAAATGTTCGCATTCTTATAGAGGATCATTAGGCACTGTAAAAAACTCGAAGGGTCAATAGTAGCAAATAATCTTTCACACAGTATGCTCGAAGGACCATAGAAACTTTATAAGGCTAAAATTCTTGACTACTCAATGGTCCAAATATAAATGAAATGACTAAATCGAAGGACCAAATAATTGTAATGATCATGTGAACTAATTTAGACAAATAGAAGGCCAAATGATTCAAAAAGATAAATACTATTGTCTACATTATCAGCTCGAAGGACCAAAAAAAGAAACGAATTCAAATAATAAAGTTAAAATAATTAAAAAGAACGAAAACTGTTGACAATGAGTCAGGATACCTTCGGAAATTAAACTAGAGAAAAACCAAATAAATAAAAATTCGACTACTCGAAGGACCAAATATAATTAAAATGTAAAATTTATTCTTTTCCAAATTATGAGATCGAAGGACCAAAAAATAATGGAAAATAATTAAAAACAAAATTAATTAAATAAAAAACGAAACATTTAGACAACAAAATTCACAAATAATACTACGGACCTAGATCGAAGGACCAAATAATTAAAATTCGACTAAATCGAAGGACCAAATAATTAAAAAGCCAAATTGAAGTAATTAAGACTACTCGAAGGACCACATATAAGTAAAATGACTCTCAAAGTAAAATATTTATGGTAAACATAATTTCTGGTAAACATAATCGGGGTTCCTCCCTTTCCTAGCTCCCCTAGAAAACTGATAATTTAATTTGTGTAATCTACTCGAAGGACCAAAAGTGCATTGCTACCATCATTATGATCATCAAAGGACCAAATACTTCAAAAAACCACAATCTTCTCCACATTTTTCCCTGAAGATACCGTAATTAAAATTGTAGTCATTTAGTATAGAGGATTTTAGGCTATGACACTTGAACAACCAAAAATGCCTTATAATATTGCACCCAATATGATCGAAGGACCAAAAACCTATATTAAGGCTTTACTACTGGACAAAAAAAATCGACGGGGTCTTACAAATGTCAAGAAATGATGTTCGAAGGACCAAAAAAAAATAGTTTCTTCGTATTCAAAAATATATACATTAGGCTGAAATTATATATTGATCATCAAAAGCCAGATGGATTTTAAACGTGCTAAACGTAGTTATACGCCCTAAGGGCTCATACTAAACAATTCTCTATTGCGTATACGTGCTGACAATAGTCATACGCCCTGCACATAATCAAATGATTTCAGTAAACCAACGTTTAAAGGGCCCTAAGGGTTTATACTAAATAATTCACTATTGCATATACGTGCTGACAGTAGTCATACGCCAAAGAGGCTCATACTTTTTA